AACTGTTTCACTTTATAAAAAGGGAACAGGTGAGTAGAGCATCATTGAGTTTCTTATTCTGTCAGTAAATTATCCAAATGAATGTTTTTCATTATTTTAGTCAACCCTAAACAAATTGATTGTACCTTTTTAATAATGACCTTACATGGTCGGCAAAGTTAAATTAACTTCAGAAAATCAAATCTGTTCTGAGAAAAAACTAATAAATGTTTAAAGATAGGAACTTGCCATCCCACTGAAAAACAGTCCGTAGAGATTTAAAGGCGTAGTTGTAGTTCAGTCCAACGTTTCATTTGGATTCATTTGACAACAGTCAACTATTTTCATAAAGAAAATATATATTTTTCAAAGTCAACTTTATTGTCAATCTTACCCAGTTTGAGAGATCAAAAAGACGTTTAAATAAAATTATACAATTTACAGATATGTATACAAATATATATATCCTATATACACCATCATGTATAATGATGGTGTATGATGTAGAAGGAAGTGTGGTAGATAACAAGTAAATATAGAGTTACATACAGATCCATGTTACAGCAAAAGATGGAATAACTAAGAAGCACGCAGTATAATAATAATTACATGCAACAATTAAATAACTGCTCAGCATCTCCACCACAATCCCAATCTGCTGTGTCCTGTTTTCCTCCCCTCTGCATAACACCCCATCACACATACGAAACACAACGCAGAGTCCGAGGGTGTTAAGAGTATGTTTATTGAAATGTACTCCTCTCTACTGGCCAACACAGGGAGCATATGCTGGGTGTAGAATTGTTCCAGGAGGAGGAGATTTCCATGCCATGCAGGGTCTTTGGGGATGGGGATGATGATCGCCTCCTTCGTGGTCCACACAACAAAGTAGCAGAGACTCCGGTCTGTGATGTGCAGCTGCCCTTGGACCTGGTGCCAGTATGGGTGATTCTCCTTGAGAATATATGACCCACCCTCCTCACGGAGACAGAAGGATGGTAACTGGACTGCCTCCGTGATGGTCATGTTCCTCTGGCTGTGTGGACACTTCACCTCCAGCAGGGCAGATGGCTCCACAAGTCCATCGGGTGATGCTCCCAGAACACCCGACTCACTCACAAAGAGACCAGACTCGATTCGAACACTGTCACTTGATAGGCCTCCACAAAAGCCTTCACCCCTTCGGCCTGGTTTACAACCCCCCAGTTGACAGTTGGCGATGTCTCTGGCCAGTGGGTTGTATGTCTCCTCTCGCTGTTGGTAAAGTTGAGACACCGGCTGTACTACTTTGGAAGTGCCAGGCTTCCTCCACTGGCACTCAACATCTGTGGAGCTGATCTGCCACATGGCAAATATTGCCAATGCTGCAGCGTGGCTGCATTTGTACATCTCCTGTGCACAATCACAGACAGCGCTCTGCATCGCGCCATCGTCTCCCATGCAGATCTGTAAAAATAAAGTAAGTACCATTTGTTAGCATGCTATAATAGATTGAATGAGCAATAATACAAGGATGGTCCGGATCTGGGGGTGGGAGGGTTTATTTTCCCATAGTTTTGTCCTCTTGTCTGTTGTTATTGTTTGTTTTTTCTGTATTTTTTCTAATTTGTGTTGTATTGGTTGTGATTGTACATTGTATTTTTCTAAATGTGTATGAATACATTTTTGAAAAACATTTGATCAACAATAAAAAAGGATTTGGTCAGGATCTAGACTCAGTGTGTAGTTTATTAATTAATCAATGCTCTCTACATTAGGAAAACACATACCGGTGTACCAGAGGGAGTCACACACAGCTGTGCCTAGATAACCAAAATCCTTGAATCGACACACAGCAAATAAACTCAAATGACACAACGAGAAAAAGGAGATCACACATACAGTATAGTCGATATAAAACTGGCCGCTTCAATCTGAAGAGCAACTAAAACAAAACACGGGAGTGTACCTTGTTCTTGTGAACACTAATGTTATCCACAGCATACACAGAGACCACGAAGTTCTTAAGGAGAAAACTAGTTGCTAAAACAAAACACGTTAGTGTACCTTGTTAGCTAATGTTAGCTAGCTGACATTAACGTTACACATTGCACTCATATTACTCACCGAAACCTTGTAAAGCCAGTCCCGCATGCTGGCTCTTACAGAACCGACTAACTCCCCTTTCATATAGGTACAGTTCTCAACGTGCCCAGACTTGTAGTGATTTTCACCTCGTAAAATACTTTTATTCTCATTCTGAAAGAATGTGGTGAAATGTGCTAACGTGACGGCCATCTTTATGTTGGTGACGCGTATTGTGCGAGACGAGAGACCTGTAGTTCACTGAGCGGTTTCACACGAAACAATTTGTAACTTCACAGTTTTACGACACATTTTTATTTTTTTGACTTGCAAAATGTTCTTTTAAATTGACAAACATCATATGTGTCATTCGTGGCACAATTCAAACGGGATCAAAAGATAACCTTTCTCTCTCCATTGACTTCAATGTATAATTTTCCGCTTCCGGGGTCCCATGGAGGCTTTCGGAAGGGGAGGGACTTCGCCTCTCTATGAGCAACTCTCATAGGAATGAATGAGGCCCCGCCTCCCACGCTGTATCCAGTTCTTATTATACATCCATGGTTCATGACAGCATGGTAATGGTTTGTTATTATGATGGATTTGATATTAACGAGGCGGCAGTTAGCAGCTAGCGGCTAGCTAGTAATTATGCTAATGTCACATCAATCGGTACTTATATTACGCTGTAACAGGATCTAGTGATATCCATGCAACAGAGCTTCATTTAGCATGAAAGAATGATTGTACTGTGTATATATATATATATATACTTATAATAATAAGTAATATTAACTTTATTTAATACAACATTTACGGTACAAGATTTAATCATACAGCCCATGTAGTATGATAATGAATTACAGCAAACATGTGCAATATATCCATTATTACAGCTCCGTGGGCTGGCAGTAGGACGATATGGGTCCGTTCTTATTGTGCATCCATGGGTAAAGATAAACGCAACTCACATTGGTTTCTCACAGCATCTCTGTAAACTGCGTGTATTCACTGAATTTCACTCTCTGCCTTTAACGGCTCGTTGTAGCTCCAATAGCTCCAATAGCTCCAGCCCCCACCCTCCCTGTGAGCATAGTGTGCTCTGATTGGTCGGGACACGTAACATGAACGTGCCGGGCGGCGCGGTCCCGTGGGTTAGATGCGCGTTCATAATGCAGAGGGAAATAACTCTCAGAATAACGTTATTAGCACATTATTACAACTTGAGGAACGAATGTTTTTAATAAGGGCTATACAAGTGTTCATACTGGGTAGTTTATTTAGTTTAAAACAAATTATCCAACGATTTACAGACCACTCTTTCCCAATGTAAGTCAATGGGAAAAAGTGTTTCCGGGCCTGGCAACCAAACGGAAGTATAGTACCGCCGTTTGGCCAGCACGAATATTTCCATCTGAGTCCGGCGCACTTCCTGGGGGCTTGAGTGTTTCAATAACCAATATTTACCTGAAAGCTTTTTCCCCCTCCACATTACAGGATTTTCTTACACATGAGTTAATGTGTAAAAAGGGGTGAGTGTGTATCATGTATAATGTCAACATGGTTGTAAAATTCACAATTTACATTTTTCTTATAGGGATTGAAAGAAACCTTCCGCCCCAACCCAGATGTTCAAACTGAGCATTGAATGATAGTTTTAGAATGAACTTGCTCCATATCTGGGGCTAAGATACTGTTTGATGAATGTTGACATGTTTCTAAATATTGATTGAATTATAACAGGTAACACAGAAGCAGTGGCCAAGGGGCTACTGTGAGAGATGTAAGTCCAGAATAGAATACCGAAGAAGTTGACCTCTGATAATGAAACCATTTTGTAATATTTCAACAGATATTAGAGTAACTGAGGTTTGAAATGTAGAAAGAACATATTACAGTTAAGTTAAGCTAAAACAATGTAATGAATGTAAATTTAAGAGAGCCAGCCAGGAGAGTGCTTGCTCTCTCAGTGTATGGGAATTTAGTCCCAAGCGTTTTTCTGTCTGGTCTGAATGAAGACGCGCCCAGAAAGTACATATCATTTGAAATAGATGAGGGGAGACAGAAAGAGAAACTGTAGGTGTATGAATAGAGGAGTGAAGGAAAAGGACACATTAAGGAATGAAAGGTGAAGGGATGAAAGGATGAATGGTTATGGGGATGAAGGATTGAGGGATAAAGTGTTGGGGTGATGGAAGAGAAGGGGAGGGTGGTTTTTAAAATATGACTATCAGCATTTTTCCAAATGCAAATAATTGAAATTGATTCTCAGTTGAAGACTCTGTCTGTGGATCTTCATATCAGAAACATCCCAGATCCTTATGAACACTGTGGCTCCTTTCCTTCCAAGTGACACATGATCACATGGGGACACTATGGGAGATAAACAAAAGCAACACTTATTAGATTTGTGTTTGTATTGCTAGCTAATAATGAAACATGATATACCGCTAAGTGAAACAGAAAACCTGAAATCTAGAGATCTTTGAAGGTGATCTTTTCCAAACACTCGTCCGATGGTCCTTCACTTGTTGAAGAGCTTGCTGTTGATTTATTCTGATTGTAATCTTACACAGTAACATCTAACAAGGTCTTCTACTAGTGAGCTTATGTTTCATGGTGTGAACATCTAAGGTGATGTTTTCTGGCTCTCTGTTTTAAACAGACTTGATTGTCTCTGTCAGCCAGGACAGCTATTAACCAAGACACTGACGAGGACTCTTAAAAGTTATTTATTATGTGGAATTAAAAAAAACAATTTGACTAGACTTCTGTAATATCAACAACTCTGCAGTCTGCATGTAACAAATAAGCATGTACACATAGTTGAAGCAGTAATATAGAGCACCTGACCACCGGCTGGTCTTAACGATGAATCATGTTTGACACCTTGACATGATTCACTTCAAGCTTCCAGCAGCTCATTCTCTAAACCTACAAGCTGCTGACTCCTATCTGCTGCTGCTGCTGAACACTGACTATAAAAGCTCTAAGAGTTGAACGTGAATATATCAACTTCGCACACATCCTGCACAGCCTTGCTCTCCTCAGGGACATTTCAACGTCCTTCTTCTTTGTTTCTATCAGGAGAGCATCTGCAGAGAATCAGAGAGACTTTGTGTAAAGTTACAGCTGGAACTGTGACTCTAAATGTGGAGTGGGCCTGTTTGATCTGATGCAGGAGGCTCTAACCTGAGTGGACTTCACACCATGTCTCCCTGCTCCTCTGTGTCTTCTGTCTGTGCTGCAGTGTGTGAGTCGTTCTCATACTCAGGGATAGAGTCCAACTGATGAAGAGAGAGAAGACAACATCAGACCCTCATTAATGAACCTGCATATACTTTAAGAATTTATAAAACATTTTTCATATTTTAAAGTTGACCCCAATTATTTATTGGCTAAATTCATTACTGGTTTCAACTCAGGACGTTGTCTTTGATCACAAGTTGTCTTCTCATTGCATTTATGAGCCACAGTATAGCTTTGACGAAGGGGAAGTGTTGTCAATAGGTCCGCTCTCTCTCACCTCTATCTCTTCAGGTGCTTCAGTGGTGGAGCGCAGAGCTTTCTTCTTCCTGGATTAAGGGCAACAATAAATACAGATTTGATTTCCTAATTGTAAACTAAAAGATGTTAGAAGGATGTGTGAAGTGATGAACTGATATGGTTGTACCTCGTCCACAGACTCAGGAGAAACACAGGAATCAGCATCAAGACCCCCAGAGTCATCCTGATGATATTCACTATCATTGGTTAACTCCCTAGAAAGATTAACACATATGTGATACTTCTAAAGGCCCTAACACACCAAACTGACACCAAATAACACGTCCCGACGGAACACGACTGTTGTGTCGCCTCACGTCTCCTGCTTCTTGGCCAACAGTTGCACTGGAACACACCGCAAAGACTTTAGCCGACGGCCAAGTAGCACGTACGAACTGCGCATGCGTGAGTGGCAATAATTCTCCTTACCAGCAGGCGGCGGTAGTGTGTATTCATCATTCAAAAGAGGCAACAACTGGAAGACAGAGAAGAAGAACAGACTGCGTGATTTAAACAAACAACAAATAGCGTGTGCGTTCCATTTTCACTCTCGTCCATCAAAAACATGTTTTGTGCGGTACTGGAGCTATCAGCCATTGGAGTGTTGCTTGTGGAAGACATTCTCAAGCAACCGTTTCGCTTCTCATGCACTGATTCGCTAGCTGAACAGCCAATAAGAGTGATTTCTTTTTCCGTCGGCCATGGAAGGCCAAATAAGGCGTGTCACGGCCGACGGTGCGGGACACACCAAATTGAGTTTGGGCGACAGGGACGGCACGCTTCGTCGTCCGACAAACGAAAACGGACGATTTCGGCCTGGTGTGTCAGGGCCTCAACTATAGATTGATAAATCACATTGTCAGTGTGATCCACCTCTGACACCATGGAGGTTCCTCCCTGAACACTGACATTTTGAATATGCTTGGGTTGCTTCAGATTACAAAGTGAATCAGGTCTGGTGAATGTAGAGAACTTACCTGTTCCAACACTCAGATGAAAGGTGGAGTTGCTACGTCCTAATTTGTTCTGGGCTCCACAGGAATAACTCCCACTGTGTTTTGCTCTGAAGTCAGTGATGTTGAAGATCTGTCCTGAAGCTTTTGGAGAGTCTTCATCCTCCTTGTACCAGGTGTAGTTAGCTGCTGGGTTAGTATCACTGCTACAGGTCAGAGTCACTGGACTGCCCTCCTCTCTCTCAGCAGAGGGACTAACTGACACAGAGGGAAGCTTTGGAGCATCTGGAGATTCAGAGAGACCCGGGTCATTCACATCAGGAGGTTTTAAATATTTACATGGCATTCTCAAATGTTGCATTTTGGATAAATTGATAGGTTTTTGGGAAATGATTGTCAATAAATGTCCTTTAAAAAAAACGGTTTAGTATCTTAAAATCACCTGTAGCTACTCAGAGAATCACAGCAGACTGTGAATGAGAAGCGATAGAGCTGAAGAAAGTAGTAAAGATCAGTGCAATCTTCTCCAGCAAAGACTGGACAGATCAAAGCTTTAAAACAATGTTTCACTCACATTTCACATCAATGGAGATGCTGTTAGATGTCTTCACCCCCAGCTTGTTCTTAGCCGTACAGTAATACTGTCCGGGGTCAGAGGACTGGATGGAGATGAGGACAAGACGTGGTCCTTCATTGAAAGAAGAAAGGTGTGCATTTTGATCCTCCTTGTACCAGGTGTAGTTAGCTGCTGGGTTAGCATCACTGCTACAGGTCAGAGTCACTGAACTGCCCTCCTCTATCTCAGCAGAGGGACTCACTGACACAGAGGGAGGCTTTGGAGCATCTAGAGGAAATACAATAGACAATACAATTGAGTTAAAATACATCATGGTGTATTGAATGAGAAATAGTTATCTGTGTGGGAGCATCTGGAATTTGGAAGTGTTCTTTTGACAGTTATAGAGCTGAAGGAAAATAAGTATACGCATTTATATTTATTTTTCTGTATAACTACTGGTTTAAATTACCTGAACATACGTGCTAATCTGGGAGCCTATAAACAAAACAGCATTTTCATCATCTACCAACCCAGTCACACAAAAAAACGTGTAATAACTACGTTGGTCCACAACGTAGGACGTAGTATTTCTACAAAAACGCCTCTGAAATTGTAAAATCCCTACGTTTTTTTCACCATTCATTCCAATGGCTGGCGTCACGTGATCTTCACATTTCTCCCTGCAGAAAAAAAAAACATGGCCGACATTCGTTTTATTCTCGGTGGAAAATGCCTATTTAAAGTTAGTTTGGCCATTAAAATGCGTTTTGATGTCATTTGATACGAGAAATATGAGTTGTTATTTCAGATTATGTGTGCAGTGGATGTACATGATCTTTAGTTTGCTAGTTATTACGAAGATTACTTCAGGAAATTGTGTCCATTCAACGTTTTAATTGTTACCAAGCTGGTTGCTAGGGATGCTGGTATCGATATTATTTATGTTATGTTGTGTAACTGTTTAATGGTGTTATCTTTATTGCTACCCCCTTCCCCGTCAATTTATAGTGTTGGTCCACAGCGCAAACTTATTAGTTTAACAAAATCCGCATCTAAAATTGTGGCATAGATCTACGTTATTTTCCTGTGATAGTCCTCAAGCTCTGTGATTGGATGTTTGAGTGTGCTCCGAGGGTTACGCCGAGCGTCGAACATCACTTGAAATGGGATGGAACCACGGTAGACTGTCCAAAACTGGATTTGAACGGGTCCACCCCGTCCCCCCCTCCCCCACCCCGTCCCCAGAACTACATATGCTGGCTATTGTGTTTCGCAACATGTTCTCTATCTATGGCAGGGGTGGCCAACCAGTCAGAGGTTAAGAGCCACATTTTTTTCTATGTTACTGCAAAGAGCCACATCAAACACACAGTCACTGATACCGCTTGTTTCCGTTTTTTGTTTTCTGGAGACAAGATTTCAACCACGTCACTGATGCGTTTTTGTGGCATTGGGATATATATTTTTTAAATCCTCTGGAGCAGAGAGAGGAGCTGTGGATTATTGTTATTGATTAATGCATCAGTGTTTCTTAGGGTCAAAAACACTAAACTCACAACTTAAAATGAAAGCGTTTAGTTTATTTAATAAAAGAGCACATGTTCAATGTGAAAAGTGACAGTAGTTATAGATTATTTGCAATTTGGTGCTATATATATATTTAAAAATAAAATTATATATATATTTTTTTTAAAACACCTTGAATATCAGGGGGGGAGGCGGGGCTCCATTGGCGGGGCGCAGCGCCCCTCCAAGACAATGGTAGGGGAAACACTGGATAATGTTTAATCAACGATAGGTTTCCCCCCCCTCAAAGGTGATTGGTTCACTGCATCGCAGGTATTATTGTGATTGGCTCTTGGGCCACATCAAAATGATACGCGCTGTCATCCTCTCATACTGACACCACACATACACAACATACATAACACGGGACGAAAGTAACGGAGCGATTTTATCCGAGCCTAAACAACTTTGACCGGCCAAATTACGTCAGAATTATCAGCATTCAATACTTAACAGACCTACTAAATATCAGGTTTAACTGTCAGGAGTAGTGTTGTCACGATCCCAACATTTTGGTTTCGATACCAAGTCAAGAATTGCGATTCCGATTCTTTTTCGATACTTTTCTTAAAAAAAGGGAAACAGTCTTAAATGTAATTATTGTGCTTTATTTCACACCAGAACCATAACCATAACACAACCTTTTAAACAATGAGAACAATAAATAAAATAAATGACAAGAATTCGTATTAAATCAAATTAATAAATGTCTTACAGACAGGCCTCGTGGTGTCCGTAGGCTTGCCATCACTGTCAGAGATATAGCTCAAATACTTCCAAATTTCGCTTCTGGCGTCTTTTTTGTCAACAAGCCGAGGCGCAGCGGCAGTTGCACTCCCACTTGCAACCATGCTTCTCGTTTTCTCACATGCTCTGGCAGCTAGCGCATGCACGAGAGAGGGGAGGCACTTAGAGCGTGCTTGAGAGGGGAGGGACTTAGAGCGTGCTTGAGAGGGGCGGGACTGCAGGCACGGCTGCAGTGCAGGGAGTGGAAGCAGAGCGTTGAACACACACGGCTCTTATTAAAACGGCGCTTTCTCACCGGAGTACTTTCCCCCGTCATTCTTAAAGTACCGATACTAATGAAACGGAGGAATCGTAACGTTTTTAACGGCAGGGTATCGCGGTACCTTTCAAGTATCGGTACACCGTGCAACACTAGTCAGGAGTCAGTGTCTCTCCCCCAAATTCACACATATAAAATTCGATATGAACTGAAGAGCCGCATGAAACTAGGCAAAGAGCCGCATGCGGCTCGAGAGCCGCGGGTTGGCCACCCCTGATCTATGGCACGTCTCTACTGGGAATTGTAGTTTTAAAAGACGTTTTCGTATTTCCCATAATAAGAAGTTGCCAGTATTAAACTGTGTACATCCCTGGACGTTTAGGGGATAGGAAACACTCAAATGTAAAACATATAATTAATAAATGGGTGAAAATTGCTTGTGCCAATAATGGGCAGCATTAATATATATACCCACATGCCAGCTAAGGTCAGAAGAGCTTTATTTAACAGCTGGTCTTATGTCTGTGACCCCTCCTGTTGTTAATTGATAACATTACATTACATTACATCAATTGATAAGCCTAAAACATGCACTTGTCAAGGTTCAGAGGCACATTTTGCAAATATGGCAGTAGCCATCGATCATCTTAAGATAAGATATACTTTATTGATCCCAAGTTGGAAACATTTGCGTTACATCAGCATGTGTAACAGTTGTAAATATGCAGTGGTGTTTATTTGTAAATCATTTAGTATAATCACACAAATTCTGTGTTTTATATTTAATAATTCTGTGTTCTTTATTGATTGATTGTTCAATACCTGACAAGATCGGAGATGAAAAACTTGGGTCACAGGTTCCTCAACAGTGCATTACAAGACATCTATCAATATGTGTCTATACCTCCACCATTAAACTGTCATATTCTGCACATTTCTTATACTATCTACATACATCTTATAAGAGTATAATACATTACATTACATTGCATTTAGCTGACGCTTTTATCCAAAGCGACTTATAATAAGTACATTCGACCAACAAAATACAAACTTGAAGAAAACAGAATCATATAAGTGTTACGGTGTGTGTAGGAAGCAGGACCCAAATGCAGATTAAAGTGACAAAAAACTCCTTTATTTCAA